AAAAACTAGTCACAGAAGATGTGGACATGTAATATTTAAGTGGAAATTAGAGAACAGCCTAGAACATGATTGTAGAAAACTAGAAATGACAGTCAAGTTATAGCTTTAACTATCTTAATTTCTTCACAAATTATTATTAGGCTTTATTGATAGTCCTGAATTGTTATCATTGATTAATTTAAAAATAAATAGCCTTAATACTAGAGACTCGAAACCATTTTACTCTCTATTTTCAAATAAAAAATATATTTTAATTCCCCTACTAACCCTCCTGATGGTTGTTAATAACACATATGTCTTTGATTTTGTAAAACTTTTCTATTACCTTAATTAGTTATTGTATTTCTGAGGAGAAGTACTGGTACCATGGTTTCTCCTCCAGTCCTCGATATCATAATAAAAAAAAAAAATTAATTATTGTATACCTATTACATATTTTATAGTTTTTCTAATTATATTCACTTAAATACTAATTGTTTTATATTTATAGTATTGTAATATTAATTAATTTTTGTACACTAATTTGTTAAAATTTTCTGTACACACATTTAAAAATTGAAATAGAACTTACGTCTATATATTTGAATAAATAAATTAATAAACCTTCCAATTAATCTGTTCAAAAAAACCATGTCATATTTTTTTGACAAATTAATAATATTGCATTTATCTGTAATTTATAAGATAACTTTAATTATGTGCTTACGCCACGGTTAGGTTAACCTAACTTTACGCCATAGTCGGTCTCACTACTGTACCGCGCCATAAGATGTTTCACATCAAAAATGCTATTTTTAAATAATTTGATTTAGAACACCTGTATTCCCACACGAGTCTTTTCAGTTAGTAGCATTCATATGTATAGGAAACTAAATTAAATAAATATTTCACAAAGTAAGCATAGTTATTATATCCACCATTTCTGTATGTTTATAAATTTAAAAATAAAGATTTAATTTTATTAGATGCTTTAATTTAAAAAAAAAAAAAATTAAAAAAGCATTTGATAGATACCTATTTATTATTATTTTTTTTTTTTTTAAGTAGTTTGGTTTCATATTTAAAGTTGCTGTTTTTAACATAAAATCATTGATTGTATCAAAATAATTTGTAATTGTAATTTCATAAAAGATATTTAAAGAATATTATTTAAAATCATATTTTTAATGGCTCCCATATCATTCTTTACAAGTTGACTTTATATTCAACATTGTTATATTGATACTAAAACGTAAATAAGAAATTTAAAATAAAAATAACTAAGTTTCAGTGCTTGAACTCAAAAGAACACAGTTTGGTATAAGTGTATAACGCATTTTTCATTATAGGCTCATCTTTAATAACCGATTACATATTTAGTACCTAATTAAACTGAAGAATATTATGTATACAACGTACACCTATAAAATATTTATCAATATAAATGAAGAGTACATTAAGTTATTTTCACAATGATGTAAAAAAGAACAATTATTATCCAAATTATCGGATGTCTACATTTATTATATTAAAAGTGAATTAGTCAGTTGTATACACTCCTGTACACTACATTATAAGATTTCAAATTTCCAAATAAATTTACATAAGAATATTGTTTAAGATATGAGTATATGACAACAAAATATAGTTATAATATTATTTTATTTTAATTTAATTTCACAAACATACATTAATTTAACATTTAACAGTGTGGAATTATGATGATTAAAAATTAAGTTTAAAAAGACACAGAGTTCTATAGCTAAACATATATTCAAAGGCGGACTGGCCCCTAGCGGGACACCGAGACAAATTCAAGTGACCCGTTATAATAACAGATTAAATTGCCAAATAATATTTTAGGAATTTAAGACATAGTATATGAAATAATATAAATAAGTACACAAATTATCTGCTCGTGTGATTTAATAGTATTGTGAAGTGATCAACAAGTGTATTCTTGATAAGCTATTTTATATTTTGTTCAGACGATTTAAATGATGTTTGAAATATACATACAGATATATATATAGACGAATACCCTATGTAGGGATCTATTTTTAAGCTATAATTATTATTTTTCATATTTTATATAAGATATAACTAATAACAACGGCACCCCACACAGGTATTGATTCTCGCTTGCACTTATCTTAGATAGCAAAAAAAAATGTAATGTACCGTAGTTTCGCGTTTTTATTTTATTTCTCTGCGTTAAATGAAACTAAAATATTATTGACAAAATCTTAAGAAAAAGAAAAAACTAGAAAAATTAAAATAATACTAAGTTAATTTTAATATAGGTAGTATCTATGTAGGTACATCTAAACATATGTTATATATGTTATGTGTATATTTTTATCTGTATTAAATGTTAAAAATATATTTTTATTGATAATAAAGGGTTTTTTCATTATTATTATTATTATTATTCTTTTCATATACTTATGACCAAATTATTTTCTCCTGTTAATTTTTATCCTGGTAAAAAAAAAAAAATTCTCGGCCTAAAATATTGACCAGTCCGCCTCTGCATATTTCAAATAATAGCTAAACTAATTTAAACATGAAAATTTCTTTAAGTATACAATCAAAAATTAAAACAATACATTTCTAAAAATAAGCATAGTTATAACTTATAAGATATTACAACAATACAATATTAAATTAAAAATTCAAATATTTTACTAATACATTTTTTTAACTATTAAAATTATTATAAGTATCTATTGATGTTAATCTTATATAGATTACACATGCCAAATAAAATGTTAAAAGAATCTTTTTTTATAAATTCTATTCTACACTTACTTAATTTAAAAAAAATATTTGCATTTTGACGAGTATACTAATTAGGATTAAAAAATAAAAAATTACTACAATTCAGATGACAAAAATTTATAATATAACAATTAAGTATTTTAAATTTATTGAACAAATGCCTAACTTTTTAAATTATTAATTCAATGTGCAGATTTCATTTCAGGAAACTCTGAAAACTATCAATAGTAATTTCAAGGTATTTCACGGTATTTGAAGATTTCAAAGAAATACAGTAACAGATTATACTCAAATTATTAAGAAATGTATATACTAAACAATTTGAGTTGCGTAATTTAATGCATTTATTAATACTAAACACATAATCTTTTGGAACTAAAAAAGGAATACAGAGTTTGTTTAATAATATCCAGAAAAATCCTCGTAAAAATATTAAATTGAAAATATGTTCTAAAAGAACAAGTTTAAATTCGGAAATTTATATCATAATCCATTTCTGTAGAATGAATTGTTGTCTTTGTTTATTTTAATATACTTTAATTTTTTTCTTTGTTTTTAGAGATTCAAAAAATACAGAGTTTGGATTATTCATAGCAAAAAAATTATTTTTCACAGTTAATTTTAGTAATTTCAATGTTATTATATTTTCACCTACTGTTACAAAGAAATTATAAAAATCATTAGGTAAGTCTTTAATATTAAAAATAATATCATTTTTATTGTTAAGTTTTGGAGGTATACATCATAGATTTGGCTATTATTATCATTCTTATTAAAAGATCCTTTAATCACCTTTAAAACCTTTGTATATCCCTATTTATTTACTTATTTGTAATAATTAACACCAGCAAAAAGTAAAGGTACAGTGAATTTTTCAAAACTATTCTTAATTTAATATACTTAACGGATATAATTTGATATAATAAATTAATTAAAAAATTAATTAAACATTAATAATACAATCTTAATTTGACAATTTAGTCAAAATTAATGAGTTTATTACATGATTTAAGCAAGCAGCATATTGAGCTATTATTTATGCAATTCCTAGAACTAAAGGAAATATGAAAGCTAGATTTATTGCTAGAATTAAATGTAGGAACTCTAAGACTAACTTTTGATAATAATAACCGAGAACAATTTATTATACTTTTTTAATAGTTATACATAAATACAACAAAAAATACTTTTGAAGAATAAACTAATGATACTAGACCAATTTAACTAGCAATTTCAGAGATAAAATATGAGTATAAAATGCCTTGTAATTTCACAAGGTTTCAAATTACAAACCTTAATTCTTAAACCAAACTCACCAATGCACAGTAAAGTGCAATGAAACAATTTATATATTCAAACTTAACATAAGTTCTTTTAAAAATGCCAAATACTCATAAAGCTTTGATATAAATCGAATTTATACATGAATTAAAACTAAGAATATTGAAAAAGAATATTCCAAGGTGACACACTTAATTCATCTGTATAATTATTTTACTTTATATCTTGGATCTTTTATCTCCCCTAATGATTAGTGACAATGAAAAGAAATATGCATATATTTTGAAATATTATAAGAAAAATATTAAGCTATTTTCTGTTTTACTGGTCAACCAGATAACTTAAATCAGATAGTAGATTATTACTATCATAAATTGATGACACAAATTAATGAATCTTTAAATCATTCATTTGGAGTACAAATCGACAATATTTGAAAACATTTCCTACATTATTTAAATATATCTGGAATTTCCAAATTGGAGTAACAAAATTAAATTTTCATCTCAAAGGAAATTCATCAGTTGTTAATAAAAGAGAAAGTAGGTAACAGATATTAATTTAGTTAAGCACAATGGTATCAGTTGGTCAAAATAAACAAAAATAATAAGAAGTATCAAAGCCTAAATAGGATAAAACTTCCAAAACATATTGAAACATTTTGAAATAATATCTGTTTGAAAAAAAGCAAGCTTTTACATTAACAGAAGCAAAGTAGTCTGAGAAAAATTAATTAATAATGGTTAATGCCAATAATAGATCTTTAGAACTTGTGTCACTATACGACATATTATATGGTAAATCACTGTTCAAATTTTATTTATGTAGCACTAAAATAAATAAATACTATGTAAAAATGATTTTTAGGTATTAGCTAAATGTATAGAATAATAATATAATCTTAACATTTTTTTACAACTACCTAGCACAAATATGATAAAAATTATATGCTTCTCACTTTAATTTGAATATTAATTTTTTTTTATGTGCTATCTCTATTTTTTAGTAATTTTCGAAGTTTATAGGAGAATTAAGGGAGGGGTAAAGTTATTATAATATTCAAGTTTGAAACATGAGATGACTAGCACCATCCATTTCTGATGCTACTGTTACACCTGAGGCATGTCTGTAATTTTGCCCGCCAATTTGTACTTTACATTCAGGACAAATAGCCTCCTCTAATGGCCCTCCACATTCTGTAATAACATAAATGTGACCATTTGGACATTTACACCAATGACCCTGACCTTTAAAACCCTCTCGGAAACTGGTGGACATTGCATTGTGTATCATCTTTCTCTCTTCTTCGGTAATAATATCCAGACCATCAAATTTCTCATCAATTGACTTAGTTATCATTTCTACTTCTTTGTCTCTGTCGACAGTGTAAACTTCACAAGACATTAACAGAATTTCCATATTTTTTACTAAATTATCCATTTCAGTTGAACAAAATTTTTGCATCACTTGTGCATATGCCATATTAAACTTTGTAGAGGACGTTATTTCAAATAAATGTAATATTCTAGCACCTCTTACCACCTCCATATTTATATCGTATTTCTGTTGATTAGATAACTGTCTAGAATAAGTAAAAGCAACTTTCAGTAGCCACTTAAAATGATTAATGATAGTTTGTTTCTTTTCGACATCAATGATGCTTTCAATTCTTTTTTTAAAGTTTGAAGTAGTTTTAAACAAATCAACAACAAAATTTAAAGATTCTATATCATTTGCTGGTAAAATGAAGTTTGATTGTTTCTTTTTTCCAAACTTTAAAGAAGCTAATAAAGGTTTGCAAAATGTATCCCATAGATGTTTCATATTATAATATTCATTATTTTTTTCACCAAAATAATTTGAAACAAAATTTGTATCCAAGGATTTTAATGATAGAATTATTTCTTTTTTACCTTTTTTAATAGATTCTAGTTCTCCATATTGTTTTTGTTTTATTATTGAAATGTCTTGTACTACAACTTTTACTTGGTTCATAAAACGTTGGGTTCTTAAAATTGGAGTTTTACATAATGGACACAGTTTCAAACATATTTCTTTATCTTTTTGGTCCATCCATTTTGATAAAGCTTCTGATTCGATGGAGTGTTTACAATCTTCTAAGTAAACAAATCTAAAACATATTACATAAACAATTAAATAATATAATATAAACTAACACATATAGAATATTTTTAGTTTTATGACTAAATTTATTGATGTAATTAAATATAATAATATATCTAAGTACCTAACCACTGTCTATAATGATAAAGTAATATTTAAAATTTCGACAAAAATATACCATTGAATGCTTAAATTAAATTTTTATATTTACTAAAAATATAACAATATTTATTTTCTAGATTTATATGTACAAAAAAAGCACACAATAAAAAATACAAAATGTTTGTAATAACTCTTTTAATTCAATTTACCTTGCATTTGGTTCATCTTCATTACCAAAAACTATTGTATTAACTTCATCTTTTTGACAAATGCGACAAAGAGGAGGGCAAGGTTCACCACAAAAACCTATACATTCATGTCCACATTTTAATTTTGATGTACAAGGCTCATAACAAGGTTCTCGATTACATATTTCATTACATTTTTGAGTGCATTTCAAATGTGGACACTTCCATTCACATTTTTCCTATAAATAAAATTAACAAATATAATAATATATTAAAAAAATATTTATAATTGGTTATTACCATGCACGGTGCACATTGGTCACCACACAAGCGAGGACATTTTGAATGGACACAAGAATAAATGCATTTTTTATTGCAAGGTGGACATTGTTCCTTACAGGGAAATTCACATCTAAAAAATAATTAAACATGAGATTATTAATTAATCCAGATTTTTAATAAAAATATACACGTACGTATGATTACACGGATTTATCTTATTGCAAACTTCACTACAAGGTACATGTAAACGGCCTTGTTTACATTCTCCACATGTGCCTTGACAAATATCACCACAATTTAATTTTTGTAGACATGGTTCACGGCATTTATCAAGTAGATATTGGCTATCTAATCTAAATTCTACAAAATATTACATTTATTAGTTAATTCAATTTTTTATACATAGAATATAAGTATTATAAATAAAACAGACAAATATATAATCAAATATAATTACTAAAATCTTATTTTTGTTTTATAGATCCTAATAAATAGTATAATAAATTTAATGCATAATACATATAAATATATGATATATCATAAGCTTAATTTAAAAAAAAAATAAAATAAAATAAAAAGTAGATAAAATGTTTAGAGTTTAAATTTAAATTTAATACTTTAATGTTATTGAATTAACTCTCTTGTCTTCTATTAAGAGATAACTAAATAAAAGAAGCTAGCCAATAATAATATTAAATACACTGCTTATTCATTGCCATGTAAATTGACGTTAAAAATATTTTTATCATTTTTATTTAAATAAAGAATAAATTACTACCATTTGTTTGATTATATACTTTTATAAATACTTTAATATGATAAAAAATTATTTTATTATCATATTAAATATTCAAAATTGAAGGTTTTAGTGCAACAATCAGATAAGCCAATTTTTTTGAAATTCAACTTTTCTATCAAAGGATAGAGATAATAGAGGAGAAACTGCTTTATATATTGATATAACAAACAGCAAAATATGTAATATGTAGTTTCTAAGTGATTTGAATATAAATTAACTAGAGATTTAGTAAGAATTTTCAGCATGAATGAATCCAAAATAAATGCAACTTTAGATGATTCGAACTATTCAAAAGTAGATAATGATATCTAGATCCTAACTTTATATTCAACGATAATTACACGTGCTATAATAATTTATTGATAGATATAACACCTTTAACAAGCAGTGGTTCTAAAGAAGATAAATCAAAAATAAATTCTAAAAATGTTCATAGTTAAAAAGCTACAAATAATGAAACTTAAAACAAAAGTGTCATCATTAATACAGAAAATATAAATAATAAGTAGAGGCCGGATTTATATGCATTTTAAATTGTAAAATATGCATGCAAACATGCACTATAAAAAGTCAAAATATGCAAGATAAAACACAAAATATGCAAAATAATTTTTGATTATACAGCTATTTATTCATTGTAAAGTTATAAAATCAAAATATAAATTATGAAAATATAAATAAACTACAATATTATTATATTATATAATGATGATAAAAATGAAAAAAATTTTAATTTATTCGATATTAGAAAAACAATAAGTAACAATAATATATTCCATATTGATCTCGGTTAAATTATGACGGCGATTTGTGAGAATATGTTTATATGCAGAAAAACTTCGTTCCACATCAACGCTTGTTATGGGCGCATATTTAAAACTCGACAACCTCCCTACCTACCAACTAATATGGAAACAAAATATTTTCAATTTTTGTATTGTGGAAAAATTTATATATAATAATTGTTCATACAATTATAAAATTAAATTAAATTTATACTTAGTGTATACGTATTATGTAAAAACATGCGTTTTTATATAAAATATGCACTTGAACCCAAAATATGCAAAAATATGCAAAATAAAAGTTTGTAATATTATTTATTTAAGTATGATTGATGAAAACCCATTTATTGCATGCAATTGCTTATAAAAATATGAACATGCATAATATGCAAAATCCAGTCTTTAATAATAAGTATAATGCAGCAAATGAAAAATCAACATCAAGAAGTAAAAAGATAATTAAATCTTCTTCATAATGGAAAAGAAATATTTCATAAATGCATCAAACACAAAACAATTAGTTTAAAAAATAAAGTAATTAAAAAATGTGAAACTGTCCAAATTGTAAATGTAAACTTGGATGTCTTAAAAAAATTACAGATGAACAAAAATACTGTATATTAAATATTTTTAATACTATTGGTGACAAACAAAAACAAGGTATATTTTTGGGAGGTTCTTTTTTTATAAAATATGGGACCAGTTATGAAGGATAATTATAATTAATTATTAATATTTTAATACATAAATCGAGTTTTTTCTACCTATGACTAGTAAATTATAGTGATATACTGATATCTAATTTTGTTTAAAATTACTGGAATAATATTATATTTATTTTAATATATAAGTAAAGAAACTTATTGTAATATACTGATATTTAATAAAATTGCATTTAACATGCAATGTAATAGTTTTTTAGAAAAGTCTTACTCAATTTTACTGTATTTTATATGGATTAAAAGAATACAATTAATAAAAAATAAATAAATATTTATAAGTTTATTTTATTCAACATTGTTGTCATACAGTACTAAAGTTATGGTTGAAATTCCATTGTGATACATATCTAAAACCTTTAAAGCTATAATTAGCTCTAAATATTTTAAGTTTATTCTTTAATGAATTAAATTAAATAAATACATATTTTAATTTAGTTGTATTTGGTGTAAACGCTAAATAAGTCTATGTAATAAAAGGTTTTAGAAAAAATGTCTTTAAAGCTAAGACTTTAAAATTATATTTGCTATAAGTAAATACTTCAACTTTAAAATGTTCAAAATGATTTTTAAATGTTTATATTACCTCCATTTTAAATGTACCAAAACTTGTCTTATGCTTATCCTGTAAATTTTTCAAAAGCGAAGGTATCTGGTTGTAGCACCAAACCCTTCAATCAATGACTAAGTTACTATTACACAGCTTTAACCAGATACTGGTTATTCAAAATAAAAACTTAATAATTAGTATTGTATATGTTATGTAATTATAGTTAATTATGTAAGATATTGGTGTCACAGCACCATACGAATGTGTGATAGTGGTCTTTAAAATAATAATATTTATAACAGTTTGAGTCTTATTCACACACTTTGTTCAACCTGAAATGACCATACACCTCGTATATGCTCTACACGTATAAGTATAAACCTAACAATTTACTAAGCCAGTATAATTTTAAAGTTTAAAATAGTCTAAATAATATTATAGTATTTATACATATTATTTTATTTTATGTTATGTAATATATTTTTATAATTTTGATTCTAATATTCTAATAATCTATATATTTTAAAATATAAAGAGCAAATATATAACTAAAACAATGCGGTAATATTTCATACATTTTTTTTTCACAACTATAATCCACAAAAGTTGAACAGTAATATTTTTTTAAAAAAAATAATTATAAATATTAAAAATAAATCATATTAATATGTAACATCATAATGTATTGTAACATGTTTAATTAAATAAAAAATTTTCCTATAGTATAATAATAAAATATATTACCTTTATCTTTGTCGCAACAAAAGACCCAAACTTTATTATGACCACAAGCAAGTTTACTAATCTTTTGCAATATTATTTCCTTACATTCTTTATGTGTACATTTTTTTGCGCATAAATTCTTACATAAATGCTCACATTTTAAAATTCGATCACATTTCTTAGTGCAATGCTTACGTTCTGGTAATGTTTTACATTTAATTGTAATTGAGTGTCCACAGTCTGGTATCACTTTTTGTACCTGAAAAAATATATAAAATGAACAAAACTGATTCACAAATAAGAATATTTCACTTACTAAGTGTTCACAAGGTTTGCACGGCTCATAGCATTTAGCTAGACACTTATGATCACATTTTAAAGAACGAGTACATGGAAGATTACATTTAATCTCACTACATTTTAAGCCACAAGGAACATTATTTTTTATGTGTCCACAAGGCAGAGTTTTTTTAACTTTAACAGTACATAATGCACAATCTTCATAACACATCTTTTGACATTTATGATTTAAAGAGCATTTTTTATTAATATTTTCACAAGGTTTTAAGCAATTGTACTGAGGATAAAATTTTTAAAATATAATTATTACAAGATATTAGAATATGAAACAAATATAAAAAACAACACTACCTTCTCGTGGTCTGGATCATCATTCTTATGACAATTGCGCTCACAAGCATGACCACAATCCAAACGAATATAACATTTAACTGAACAATTTGGATTTTTTTCATGACATTTTTTCATAACTTTATGACCACATTTTTCTAGGATAATTTCCATCTAAAATTAAATTTAAAGACAATCTCTAATTAAAAAAAATACACTGGAAATTTTAGAATTGCAATAGTAAATCTCCAACCATTTCTTCACACGGATAAGTATCAATATCAACAAAGCATGGTAATTCTATGTGATGACCACATGGTAAATTTTTCATCATGAGTACGGAGCACTGTCCACAATCCATATAACATATTTTTGTACATGGATGATTATAATCGCAAGACCTATGATACATTTATACATTTAAAAAAAATTAAAAATCTTTTTTAAAAATTATTATAAATAAAAATCTTTAAAAATTTTACTTGTTACATGACTCCATGCATTTCATTTCCACGTGGTCACGGTCATAAGAATGACATACACTTGCACAATAATGACCACATAACAACAATGTTTTACACATCATGGAACAACCGCCTTCCATGACTATATTGAAATCTTCACTCTTTGAAACTTTTGTTATAATACCAGAATGTATGACACATTCTAAAGTCAATTCATTACCTTGAAACATAATGTAGAAAAAACTTAATTAGAAATCTATTAAAATATAAGCAAAAATATATTTACCAAATGAATCTTGATTTACTAATGTTGCTATTATTTTTTTCCAAAAATCACCAGAATTGTACAAAATGTCCATGTTACCCATTATGTAAAGTCCATATTTCGCTCTTGACAATGCAACACATAATCTGTTTTCATTTTTCAAAAATCCTACATTTCCCTGTTCATTACTTCTAACTAGTGATAACAGTATAATATCATTTTCCTCGCCCTGATATTTATCGACAACTGTTATTTTTATGCCCTCCAATATTGGATGATTTTTTCGTAACTTAAAATAGATTAAAAAATAAATTATCATATTTATATATTTAATTATTTAAAATAAATACCAATAATAATAATTATCAGCTTGTATTTCATCATACACATACAACTACATGTGATCCATCACCTCAAAAGGCTAATCTAACCTCTAGTATATATATAAGCTATTTTCATGTTGATCTCAATTTGATCTCTTATTAAGTACTTCTCTCCCTTTATTTTTTTCTACAGTAATTTTCATAACAATACTTACTGTCTATGAATTATCTTTTTATATTGAAAAATATAAAGTAATAACATTTTCAAGGTCTTGGATTCCATCTCTTTAGTCTCATCATATCAATAAATCTCTATTAATACATATTTATGATATCAGTGATTTAGTAGGTGTAACATTTGATCTACTGTTTCTTTCAATAAACACTTATTACACACAATTAATAAATCTTTAAAAGTACTAAGGCTTTATTTCTAAGAATTGTAAATTTCATTAAATTTACTGTTTTAAAACTTATATTTTTCTAATTTGAGTAAAATTAGAATGCAATTATGTCGTTTGGTACCCATACTTAAAATAACAAATTCAATCTTTAGATCATATTAAAAATTGATTCCTTCACTCTAAGGCTTTCAAGTGTACATACATGGTAATGAAGAGAATTTCTTCATCAGCGCAACAAGCAGGGATGTTGGATGGTACTTACACAAGAGTACCTAAGTACCTGGTATTTAGAGTGGGACACTAATTAATACGTTTTTATTATCGGTATTTATTTTTCAACAACATAAATTTCCTGTATAAAATATTGTTTTAAATTAGCTATTAAACATTTAGATGAAGTTGACAATGATAGGAGATTACAAAAGAGAACATTAAAGTTTGATTTATCAAAAATTACTTGAGAAATTCAATGAATCAAAATCAACTATCAAACATTGCCATTATATATATATTAAAAAAATGAAACTGAAAAATTAAATATAAATTAAATAATAGATAATGTTTCCAACTTAAAGGTTAAAAAATTAAGTTTCATTAAAATATATTATATTTTTTTAAATAAATAGACAGACAGTAGAAATTATTTGTAAATTATGCAAATTATTTATTAACTACTCTTTTCATGTAACCTATTGACTCTTACCTATATTTAATTACACATTATGTAAATAGTTAAAGTATTTTAAAATATACATATAGCTATAAAATCTACATAATAAATTTATAACAAAAATAATATATTAAAAGGCACTGTGTAATTTTTGTTGCTAGGCCACCATAAGTTGTAGTTGCCTCACTGTTTATCAATTATTATTAAATTTGTTTGACATTGTTAATTTATCAGAATAAGAAAAATAAGTTGTGTAACATTTTTAATTAAACTTGTAAATGATTACTGATTATTAAATTTCTTAAATTTAATGTTTTTTAGTGTAGAACTAGCTGCACTTTTCTTTCACCAAAAATAAATTGGGTATTAACTTAAATAATTATAGGATGATGTAATTAACTAACAAAACTAAAATTAAATATTTAACTTTACTTCCATTGAATCTTTTAGTTAATATGCCAATAAAATTATTTGTATTTAAAATATTTATATTATTTTACTATTAATGTTATTGCTATTAAATTTATTATAATTGGATCTTATAATCTGTTAAAATTTAAAATAAATAAGTAAAATTTATTACATTTATCATAACATATCTAAACATCTTCATCTATTCTCACTACTTTTATCCATAATCATGTAACTTTTTATATTACCCTTAATGTATTTATATCTTATTTTAAATTCTCTAGTCACTTCACACATCTAAGCATTTTTATTTCCACTACATTTATCCTCTATTCTGTCTCTTAGTCTAACTGTCAGCATTCTAAAACAGAAAACATAGCTAAATTACAAGTTTTAAAATATCTATCATTTAATCTCATCAGTATCTTCTGGTCACACAAAATACTAGATGCTTCTATTCACTTCATTCATTTATACTTCATCATATTTTTGATGTACTCCTCAAAATCAATTTTTTTATACTATTAATCGTAAATGCTTGAACCTATCAATTTTACTACTATACGAATATCATTCCTCAATTTTATTATACAAAACACACAACAAAATCACACATGATTGCTTATGTTTTACTTCGACTAACTTTTAGCCCTCTGCCTTCAAATACTACTGTTTACTCTTCCAATTTTTCATTTACTTGTTTTAGGGTTTCTCTAATTACCATTACATCATTAGCAAACATCATGTACACATCAACATTATAATAATAAAAAGTAAAGCACAAATAAAATATTTAACATAATTTGTATTATTTATAAATGGCAAACAAAAATTCATAGTCATACAAATTAAAAAAATTATGTAAACTTACTGAACGAATTAAGAATAATTGACCACTGTAAGTTGTTAATATTGTTACTTGATCAGTTTTGTACCCTTGTAAAATTAAATATCTGGCAAACATAATTAAAAATCTAGCTTCATGATCATTACTCTTGCTTGAATTTTCTTCAACCTAAATGTTTAAAATATTGTATTAATCGAATTATATAATTGTACTAAAATATCAACACGTAACATACCTCTTTTTCATATATATTATGGTTTAGGAAAAACATATTTTTGGTTACACCACGAATATGTTCTCTATTATAAACAGAAATATGATTTTTCAATTCATTGTAGATTGATGGAGTTATTAGGGATGCTATCTCAGGACGCATTCTATGTTGTTCATTCAATGTATAACAAGGTATTTCATTATTGACCATACGTTCAAACAATGAAATATTGAAATTAAAATTTTTAGCCAATTTGTAAACTGCATTATTAGGACGTAATTGTTTATGGTCGCCTATTGAAGGAAAAATAATTAACTGTTATCATAATTTTTATTAATTTTCTCATAAGATTAATATAAATACCTATCAATATTAGATGTTGACAATGTCTTGTTAATGATGAAACTAAATGTGCCTCCAAAACTTCAGCAGCTTCTTCAACGACAACTAAAAATTTAAATTAACTATTTAGTTTATAAATATAGAAAAAAAATAAATCTTAATACATACCTATTGGCGACTCTAGACCTTCTAGCATTATTCTATGCTTAGCTGCACCAGTAGTAGTTATTGCTATTACATGCATCTTATTAAATAGCTCTATATTTTCCAACTCCCTTAATTCAGAGTATTGCTTATAAACTTGAGAATACTTTTCTTCATAACTCATTATTTTTGGATCAATCATTTCTTTTGTTTCTCGTACCCAACAAAAATATAAAGACCATCTTTGATTCATATTTAATGAATTTAAATCTTCAATTGATTCTGGTAATTCAGAATAAACATCAATTAAATTCATCTTATTTTCAAAATAATCATGTATCTTTTCCATTATATCAAAATTAAATTTGGCTTCTTCAAATTCATTATAGCGATCTATATCCACATTTGATAGATTCTCTAAACGAATATTCTCCTCGAAAAATTCCTTGCAAGCTTGCTTTATGTCATCTAAAGTTATACTATAAATAACAACATCTTTATAATAATGTTCTAGTTCAAAATTATCAGGTTCATATCGCTCATCTTCATCATCACTTTCATTTACTTCTACATCGATTTTCAACAATTTTTCGGAATGATAGACTTTATTGATTAATTCATGGCTAGTTTTACTAATAAACTCTATTGGATCTACATCAAAGTAATCAGAATCTTGAAATAACCAAGAAAGAAGATTTATAGCAGTTGTAAAAAACCGATGATATTTTTTAGGCATACCATTTTTCAGTAACGATATATCTAATATTCCAGCATTGTATGATACAACTTCACTAATCGTCTTAAAATAGTTTATATTATTCATAATTTTTCTAACTTGTTCTTGAACATTTCTTAAACCTCTATTAGTAGTATAGGATCTTTTATATTTACGAGTAATATTCCTTAAACTGTATTCTTCTAGTATTTTGGACTTAGATTGACCACCAATTCTTATAACTTTGTTTGTGAAACTTAAAATACCTTCGATGAATTGATCTAATGCATGATTAGTGTAACACACTACTAAAATTGGTTTAGAAAGACATTGGTTGTTATATAAATTACTTATAATGGTTTTCATAATTTTCAATCCAATAAATGTTTTTCCAGTACCAGGTGGCCCTTGAATAACTGTAAATTCTTGAGTTATTGCTGCTCTAAATGCTCTATATTGCATTTCATCAAGTTGTAGTAATTCTTTAGGAGGCCATTGATACATATTTACTATATGGATATTATCTATATCATCAATTGTATAGATTGGTTGAGGTAATGTGGCAATGTAACATGGATACTGAATTAATGTAACAGCTGATATTATATATTTTTCCATTGGAAAATTATGATCATAAATATTTTTGAGAGCTTCCATTGAACATTTATATGGTTCAAAATATACCTCACTCTCTACCACGGTAAGAGGTGTATTAAATAAAGGTTTTGCATCTTCTAATAATTCCACAATTAACTTTCCTTGTTTCAAAAGTGTTATCTTTCGATCCAAAACAGTGCCCAAAAAAAATGTCTTAAAATTATCAACAGAAAATAGCAATAAAGAACCATACATGAAACGTTTAGTCATATCCCAGTTTATTTTTAATGTTTTCTTTTTATCAAAATTTATCAAATAACCATATTTATCACGAACAAATTCACCTTTTTTTTGAAATTCAACATTACGATAAATACGAATATTGCTTATTTTTTTACGATGTTGAGATTGTTGTTTATCATTTATTGATTTTTTATAAAATTGTATTCCTTCTCGTAGTGGAGCGATAAAATCCTCACGTAAAAGACGAAATTGAACATCTAAATAGTGTTCTACGTTCTGAAAAGCTCCTTTTAATATATTTGGTCGTAAAAATGGTTCACCACATTCAAGATCATTTGCAGTTGGATATACTGTGAGTTCCCTAAAATTTTCAGGAGGTGGTATAATTTGAGCTATATTATCAATTATACATTTTTCTCTTAATTTTAATTCATCTGCTACTTTTATTTCGTTCAGTTTTTGTAACAGCTCATTCATTCCAGCAATTATAGTTTCATTTATTTTAATATGACTACTATACGTTTTAATACCAGTTAAAGCAACATTACTACTAATTAATATCTCTTTTAATTTTTCTTCTGCTGTTTTTGGAAATAACATAATTATGGATTGAAAAACTATTAAACAATCTTCATAAAATGTATTCATATTGTTACAACGATTTATATTTTTTTCTGTAGGTGTACTCAATATATAGTTTTTTATATGACTAAGAAATTGATTACATGATAGTTCTGTCAGTAAAGAAATTTTGCTTTGCATTAATTCTGAATAACAAATTTTAGCTGAAACTTTCATAAGCAAGAATATCCAATCTGGTTCTTTATTTTGTTTAAATAAATCCATGAATCCATTAGCTTTATTAGACATCACAAATACAATTTCAGAAGGATCCTTATCACATAATTCTCTAAGGCGTATGAATCCAAAAGTATACTTATTTTTATATTTTTTTTCATTATTCAAGTTTTGTTTTTGCTCAATTTTTTTTTGTCCTTCTCTTTCTTGTCTGTTTTCTGAAATTTGTTTAAATTTCCATTGTGATTGTCTATTTTCCAAATTTTGGTTTTTTATCCAATTTTCTTGCCTATTATCTGAATTCTGTGTTTTTTTCTTTTGTTCTTCTTTTGTACTGGAACCACTTGGACGTGATTGTTCATTCTGTTGTTTAGGCAACTTAGAATCAAATTGGATGCTTTCTGCATTTACAGATGGATTTGTTCTAGATTTTCTAGGATGAAACTTTTGATTTTTGTTATTTTGGTCTGTGTGGTTTTTATTGGACATGATTTTTCTCCAGTCTATGGCTAGTCATATGCTTGTAATGGTATCCTATAAAATTATCAAATATATATATTATAAAAAAATAAAGACATTCAGTATAATTTTAAACATTAAACATTGAACTGTAATTTTTCCAAAAAAAAGTGAAAATTTGTTTATTTTATAATTATTTAATTTATGAAGTTTTAGACGTTTGTGATTTTTATTTGAAAAGCTATAATTACTAGTTTAGTTTTTAATTTAACATTTACTGACTTACTTATATATCAAAAAAACAAACAAATTTTATCTTGGTATTTAAAAAAAAAACTAATAAGTTACGTTTTTAAAAGAAAACAAATTTTGAATTTCAAATTAATTAAATCAATATTACATGAATTGTTTTTTATACTTTACATACCTACATAATTGAATATATTTGTGTAAGAAACTTAAAAGTTAGACAATTAAACTTAATTTATAATAAAACACATCTATAAGTAAGCTTGCCATTCGTCCCGATTTTAACAACATGTCCCAGTGTCCTGGCCAGTCATTAACTTTGTCCCAGTTAATGGGAGCCGAAAATAACTTTAATATTTTATTATTTTAAATAATAAAATATAGAATAATTTACATATAGTTTCATTAAATCATTATCGTATTATGTTAACTAAATTTTTTTAACATGTTTTCAGGTTTATTTGTTTCTTTTTTTTTAAAAAAAGCTTCAGAAATTTTAAACCCAAGACAAAAAAAAACAAAAAAAAGGTTATTCAATACAATGTCTTGTTTTGGTGAATTTAAAATCTGGCAACCCTACCTATAAGCTAAACCTCATCTACTAATACTACTGTAGAAAATAAAAAAATTAAGTCTTGTGTCTAAAAATTTACAAATAATTATAAAAATTACTGTAATAAGAACAAAATAAGCTAAGTTTTTATTGAGTGTTAAAGATTTTTTTTTTAAGTGCAACTATGCTCATATTTCTATTTACAAATACAAAATTTTTTCTGGTCCGTAAAATATTAATAAAATGTAATAGTATATGTCATAATTAGATTAGGAGTGGTGTCCGCCCATTAGCCTAGATGTAAAATGTAGCGGCTGTTATACCTTCAAATAATTTGTAGGAAGTGGGTATCCAAATCTAAGTACATTATAATATGAACTTTATTTACTGAATGGAATAAATGTGTATGTAGAAAATAGTTGATACAGAATATTATAGAAGTTAATATAACTATAGTCTGTAATTAGTATTTGGTACTTTGTTATAATAATACTATTGTGCGTTATAAAATAAATAAAGTAAAGATTATCTTATTGTCAGTAAGAGTCTATAAATATAATTAATGATATCATAAACAAAAAATAAATTATAAAATACAACGTTTGGTATATTTTGATAATTTAGTTAACGATATAATATTATTAAAAATTTGTATTACAGTTAAGCCTTATCTTTAGCTTTTGGCTTAGTAGGGGAAAAAATATAATTAGTATAATATATAATTGATAAACCCAATAATTTTTTATCAGGTTAAAATTAAAATTGTATAATTGATATTTCAAACAATCAATGAAATGGGCAATCCTGCATTATTAATAAAATTACCTTCGGTTGTTATCGCTTATCAGATTGGTTTTGACACAAAGTGAATGTGTTAAAAAAAGATTACCAACCATTAAAGAACAACCAAGTACTTGTGATATAGATTTGACTAATCAATACAAAGATGTATCTATGTATGTCTTGAATTTCTTGAACATAATTTAGATTGAAAAATATATCTAATTGATTTGGCTTCAAATATGCAAGGTCAATATAATGGACTACAAAGTTGAAAGTATTACAAAAGAAGAAAACTCTAGTGCTATTCATGTTTTGCATTGGATACATCAATTTAATTTGGTAGTTTTAGATTTCATTACATCAAAAATCAGTGTAATTGATCTATTTGGTAATTTGGAACAATTATATGACTTATATTCCAGTAAAAAAAGTGTTATTACTAAGAGAAAATAAAAATAAATTGATAATTTCTGAATTAGGCACCTTTTGATATTATGAATTAAAAATCAAATTAATTTATCAATAACAGTAAATTTGAATTTGAACTATTACCTGTGCAACATATTAGTAAGATAAAACTCAGGTTAATTAAATGTACTGCTGATGAAGTTATCATAAGTCCATTTAAAAATGTTAAGATAACAACTTTGTTATAAACTGTATTTATACACAAATTACATAATGATTTATTGGTAAATCTTGTTAAAAAATTTTAAAAATCTATATGAAACAACTTTAGGACTAGTTACAGATATTGCACTATTGTTAAAAAAAAAAGGTTTAACGAAGTTGAAAAATAACTAGGTAGGTAGTCTCCCAAAAGACTTATTTTATGCTTTTCTAATTTCTATGTCATATTGTACACATTATGAAACATTTAAACGCCACTGGATTAGGTAATACACTTTTTTAAATACAAAGATTATATCATTATTTAATAATTTAATAATTTATTACATTAGTACATTACTGATAAAATAGCGATTATTTAAATTGCTTAGACTGATACGTGATAACATAAGTAATAAGTATGTACTTACTTACTATAGTCGGGAGAATGAAAAGTGGCCGCTGATGCGAACGCCCCTGGTGGCAAATTTCTGTAATTGGTTTCCAAACAAATGTGAAAAAAGGCGCGTATTTTGAATTATTAAATGCAATGTATTTACATAAATATAATATAATATTATGAGAACTTCTGTTTTAAGCAAAAAAAAAAATCGTATCTATCATATTTGCCAGCGGCCACTTTTCATTCTCCCGACTATAATGTTAAATAATGGATAGTAATATAACAAAAATAATTTACTACTGCAACAATGTTACCTTGTAACAAGTTCCATAATTTTGTTAGAATTTGTTAAATGCCTTCATTTTTGTTCTATTTCAACTCGTCCGAATTAATATTTCTATGATTAGAAACATCTTATTTTAGTGTACGCGCGGGACAAATATAAATAGTATATAATTTTATCAATTACCAACTGTAAAATTTTTATAGTTCCTTTTGTACCTATCTATATTAACACAATTTATTTTTAATATTTTTGAAAACTTCAGTTATCAAGAGATATTTTTTATTCTTTAATATGATTTCTTATACTAACACTTAATCAATCCAAAATTCCAAAATATTCAACACGATGAAAAATACGAAATTCTTAGAACGTAATTAACAGCTAAACATAGAAGAAAAATTAATTTCAATAGAAAAATATTGTATTAATAATGTTTCAAGTATATTTTACACTATCATATTACACTTTCATTGACATACAATTTTATTTTTATATCGGACATCACTATTGTAAAATACTCTCGTGCAATAATATTTTAATAGATTATGTCTAGAAATTTGTTGGTTCAACAAAAAATTTAGTGTAATATGTATAATGAATTGTATTAGAGTACCAAATTTATTGAACTTAAAGCCAAGTTATAAATTCAGTGGCGTATTTAGGCCGAGGCCCTCAAGGTATGTACAAGATGGAGGCCACAGAACCTTTATTATTACAATAAGAAAAATACTATATATATTTTTTTTTAATTTAAATTTATTTATGTAGAAAATTATTTGATCAGAAATAAAATAAATATGTATAATGGTAGCGTTTACTATCTTTTATATTATTAATTATGACGTATAAATCGTATAATTATATACGTCATTGTTTTTTTTAAATAGGCAGTTAGTTATAATTGATAAAAATAAATTATCACAAATTTTTCACAGTAATTGCAGCACAGCTATTCAAAAAATATTATTTCTAAGGTAGCCACTAGCATGTAAGTTTTGCAGTTCTAGAATCTGTTTGTTTTTTTATTATGATTTGTACCTACGTCGTACGTTATTGTCTACTTACATACATATTGTAAATTGTTACTTATATTTACATTTACTTATATTATCTACATTTTTATTTTCAATTATTATTACTATTTTGTTCATTAATAATGAAATCAAAACATGTACATATAAGTAAAAGTTTAAAAAGAAAATTAAAAACACAACACATTGAAAAAGAATAACTAGGTATTCTTGCAAATAAATATTTATTTATTTTTTTAATAGAGATGCTCTTGAAAATAATTCATGTTTTAGTACGATTTAAACTCAACCTAAAAACAAAACCATTAATTCATAAAACAATAACAAGATCCATCTGGTCTTATGAAATTCAAATTCGGGGACCGGCCAAGCCTTCCAACGTCCGTCCAATCCAAGCTCACCAGAATATTACTTTTCGACTAATCATAGGTGCACTATGGTACATCAGTAATGCTTTCTTGTACAAAGGTTTTAACACCACAATCGTGAAAGAACTAGCAACCACATAATACAAACGATTCCATTCCAAACCTAACTCCCACATAAACCCACTTTTAAAAAATATGTCCTCTTACACCCTATCCGAAAAACCTATACGACGCCTAAACAATAACTGGTCCCGTGACCAATCAGAATATTAATAATTATAAAAAAAAACTGCTTATTAAATAACAATCTAATAGGGTGTTGCTAATGAGCCTTTTCTCTCAATCATGTTATTCATGTCAATTTATCATATTTACTTATTGTTTTCTATTAAATAAATTTATAATTTCTCTTTAAAAAACAAAAAAATACGATTGTGAAATTTACGCCTGTGAAAACAACTGATATTATAAGTAGTTTAAAATTATTATGTCTATATTAGTTCAAATAAAATAAATGTTTTACTAAAAATAAAACCAAATTGTTGCATAATTATTACTATTTAATAAAGTTAAAAATATAAAAAAAAAATTTAATGAGCTTTATGATTTTCTGAAGACTTGTGGTTAAAATCACCTGGAAAAAATTGAAGTTGAAATATTTAAACTTGATTACTTGATTGTGATATTAATGAAATAGAACGTATACGATTTCGAAGTTTTAACTACGTTTCTTACTTTTTTAAATACTTGCAATCGATTTCATTATTTGAACTAAACCATGAGAAACTATACAAAAAAATAGAAATACTTTAAAAAAAGTATGACTATGATATTTCTCCAGACTTTGTTTGATCATATTACGATAGTCGATAATATAATATTGATTAAGTTAAAATAATCAGCAAAAGAAATTGCAGAAATATTTTCAATTGAACATTCTCCTCTTACAAAAACATACCTTACATATCCTAACAGGCTTTATTTTTAAATGCATTATATAACACACAATGTGCACTACGAATGTACAAGTGTCTACTACGGTTTATAAAACAAAAATTAAATAAATGTCAGTTACTAGAAAATATAAGTATTTTCTGAATTTTTTTTAATTTAAATTATACTGAATTGTAATTTCTTTCTATTAATTTTCAAACATTGTCAAAAGTATTTTGTTGTTGTATTAAATTATTTAAATTATTATTATATATACATATAATACATTTTTTTTTCCATGACAATAGCTAGAATCAAATTTCCATTAAAAACAGTAAAATGAAGTGTGCAGTCCGAAATTTTATAAATAATAGAGCCTGTATCCTAATGTATAGGTACACTGATTTTATTTTGTATTTGACGTTACCCGTTACAATTACAGCAGCACAGCGATCGTTTCCAAAAGTAAAAATAATAAAAAAAATTATTTATGAAGTACGATGGCAGAGGAACGATTGAGTGGTTTGTCAATTAGTACCATTGAAAATAAGCAAGCACGGCAATTACATTTGGAGGAAGTGATAGACAAGTTCGCTCAAATTAAGGCTCGAAATGTTAATTTTTAAGTAGGTATAATTAATTAAACTTCATATTCTTGTACAATGTGTCAATCTCAATGTTTTTATAAATATTATTATTAATATATTATATAATTATCATTAGTTCATGAATCACTATTTAATAATTTATATTTTTATTATAATTTAATTTCTGTGTTAAAGAAGGCCCCTGTCTCTTATGACTCTAGCTCTTAGGGCCATCAAGTTTCTCGCTACACAACGAGTTTATCTTATAATACACAATTAACATAATATGAAATACTTCTTTTAGGTAGATATGACATAATTTGGGTGTTTAAAATTTAAATTGTAGGTTTCTTTAATAATTGTTTTATTTAACTATTATGAATTACAAAAATTATAACGATTTTTTAATATAAATTATGGTTAAATAAAAAATACCCACGAAAAAAGAAAAATTTCCAGTATTTTTATTAATTAATATAAATATATTGTATCTTTTGTAAGATAATCAAAATTCTTTTTTATTGAAGTTAAAATTTTCCATTATAAAAAATCTAAAATACTAGAGAGTGAAGATGGATGCCAGTCAATATTTATTTGACTATTAGTAATACATTAGATTAAATTACCTAATTTGTACAGAAAATATTGGATTTGAAAATATCATTGTAGGTATATATAAAATATACTAAGTTATTATTAATAACATAGGTAAGTAAAAGTTTCATGGCTTTTCAAATAATGTTTTGAACTATAACAAAATAATGAATATCTTATATCGTTAGATAATCATAATTTAAATGTTATTTGTTGGATTTTATCACTGGATGGGATGGCCTCCCTTCTCATGTATTTCATATTGTGTATTTATTTATTGTATTTTCTAATTTGCTTATTATGCTTAGTAAAATAGATTGTATAAATATTCTTGAAAAAAAAAAAATAATAATAAATAACAATAAATGTTATTTCGTCTTAAAATACATATTTAAAAATTATGCTGATTTATTTTTTTAGATTATTTGGTTTTAGTATGAACTAGGTACTCATTTAAAACGTATTTAAATTCTAAGCCTTAAGTATAAAATTGTAAATTATATAATTTTTCAACTGCAAAGCAATTAGAAAATGGAAAAACTACTCCCAAAACATAAAAGTATAAAATAACATTGATATTATATGTACATAATTATAAATTATAATTATTATTGAACTGAATTTGTAATTAGAACTAATGTCGCATTTTTAAATTTTAAATATATATTTATTTTTTTTAATTTAAAATAAACAAAATAATGTATTCTACAAATTAATCTACTATACAAGACGTATTCAGTTGGATGTACCTAATCCACATTGGAAAAGGTAGCCGATTCCGCGTTTGGGGAGACATATACGTCGAAGTAAATAAAAAAC